CACACAATTAAAAGTATCAGAATCACTTAATCAAACTGACACGTCGACACAGCAGTTAAAACTATAAGGTTACGAGTCAGGTAGGTAGTTATGAGTCAGGTAGGTAGTTATGAGTCAGGTAGGTAGTTATGAGTCAGGTAGGTAGTTATGAGTCAGGTAGGTAGTTATGAGTCAGGTAGGTAGTTACGAATCAGGTAGGTAGTTATGAGTCAGGTAGGTAGTTACGAGTCAGGTAGGTAGTTATGAGTCAGCTAGATAGTTACGAGTCAGGTAGATAGTTACGAGTCAGGTAGATAGTTACGAGTCAGGTAGATAGTTACGAGTCAGGTAGGTAGTTATGAGTCAGGTAGATAGTTACGAATCAGGTAGGTAGTTATGAGTCAGCTAGATAGTTACGAGTCAGGTAGATAGTTACGAGTCAGGTAGATAGTTACGAGTCAGGTAGGTAGTTACGAGTCAGGTAGGTAGTTAGTCTTGTGGCGTAGAACCTTAAACACTCTGGTGCAGACCTTGCCGAAAGTCATGGTGAGCGATGAGGCGCGTGGTAGTGTCCTCTACAACCTGTGCTGACTGGTTGGTGGTGTTGACTGGTGCTGACTGGTACCTCCCACACCGTCCTACCTCAACACCATACACCGTCCTCCACTGCAAGGTCCTCCTCAAGTCTTAACAGAAAACGGGGAGGAGGAGGCGGTGTTTATAGCGTCTACGGTATCTCAACACTCAACATTCCTCGGTATTATCGGTTACACGAGAAGCTTCGAGCCATCCAACTTGACTCCAACACAACCAAATTGACAGGCAGGTTCCTTCTCCTTACGTGGTTAGGTGAGTCTCCGCACAACACACACAAGAGAGTGCGAGAGTCGAGGGTAGAGTGCTGTTGAGAGACCCGGCACACCAGCTAGCTACCTCCCTCCGTCTCCTCACACGACTAACTGAAACCTCCCCTACCCACTGCTGCGAATATATATATATGTGTGTGTGTGGGGGTAAGCAGGAGCCCCCAACATGACGTGGCCAAACGCACATGAACGTCCACACACAACACCTACACGCCGTTGAGTGTGTACATAAAGTCACAGCAGGAACATGTTGTCAACAGTTGGCTGAAGAACCGGCGGCTTCTGGTAACCCCCGCCATTCTTGGAGCTCATCCCGATTCTTTTTTTAAACAGCGATTTACTTATGGTTTTTGTCGTGGTGGTGAGGGTGCCAGCGTGTAGCAGCCGGGCAGAGTCTCCGTCAATATTATAACAAGACAGTACAGCGAGGACCACACCAACATCTCGTACAGTACATCGGGTATTTCTCCAGCGGGGCGGTGTTTCTTCTCCCGGCCTGAGGTCCAAGTGCCGGGGAGGAACGGGTGAGTCACAGATACTTCTGGGTACTGTGTGTGTAGACAAACCTTTACGCTCCGTCCCCCTACTTGTTACGAGGCTTCCGTTTTACCAGTGACGATCCTCCTCCTTCCCCCAAGGTCGGCTGCCACACTTCTCGTGAACTGATCTATGTTTGTGACTATCAGAAATGCAGTGGTTTACGTACAGCGGGGGAGGTGTTCTCACTAATGACAGTAGCGGCTCTTACCTCACTGGGGGACAGGGAGAGGGGGAACTGCAGATTGGGTGTCCAGAGGGAAGAGCTATCTTAAACGGGCATAAAGTTGACATCAGTTCACAGTAAAGCCAACCCTTCACTGCCGAGAATTCTGCTTTTCAGGTAACAAAGGAATAACGAGAGGACAGGTGATGATGGGAAGAGGCAGACAAACATATAAAGAGTGACCAATTGTGTTACTTCCTAACGAGCGAAAAATCGTAGTTCAGTCAGGTCAGAATAGGCGGGTTGGGGCTGACTCACGCACCCAAAGACGACCAGCGTGTAGGCAGAGAGATTAGCATAATTCTGACGTGGCAAGACACCACCGCCTTACCAACTAGGCATGGGTCTGGTTTACACTGCAGGCAGAGTGCACCTAGTGTAGTTGTCAAGCTTAACCACCTATGACCCCCCCCATCCCCTCACACGTCACGCCACAATAAATACTACAGATGCCTCGAATGTCACCTTGGAGTGAGTGTTACTGCAGGTGTGATGACGTCCAACAAGGGGCGTTAATACACAGGTAAGGCAGGTGACGACACACACACACACACACACACACACACACACACACACACACACCTCCCCCTGTGATCATCTCTTTAGTTGCAGCCCAAAGCCACGTCGCTCCAATACCTGTATCTAAAAAGAGTTAAAGGTTTCACCGTGGTTCTGTAGCCAAGACGTGTGTGTGTGTGTGATAAGATCTTCCTACGTGGAACTACTGAGAAATTCTGACTAGCCGTGAGGTACTGCCACACACCACCACCAACTGCACCACACCCACCACCATCTGCACCACACCCACCACCATCTGCACCACACCCACCACTAACTGCACCACATCCACCACCATCTACACCACACCCACCACCATCTGCACCACACCACCATCTGCCATACCCATCATCATCTGCACCACAATCGGCATCACCATCTGCACCACACCCACCACCATCTGCACCATACCCACCACCATACCACCATCACCACCATCTACCACACCACCACCATCTGCACCACACCCACACCACTCTGCACCACATCTACCACCATCTACACCACACCCACCACCATCTGCAACACACACCCACCACCATCTGCAACACACCATCTGCACACACCATCACCATCTGCACCACACCCACCACCATCTGCACCCCACCACCACCACTGCACCACATCCACCACCATCTACACCACATCCACCACCATCTACACCACACCCACCACCATCTACACCACACACACCACCATCTACACCACACCACACCACCATCTACACCATACCCACCACCATCTGCACCACAATCATCATCACCACCACCTATCTCCTCCTGGCACTAACTAGGCTGCCGCACCACCACCACCTTATCCTTGCACCCTCTCAAAGGTTATTTTTACCCAACGTAATGTCATGATGCAGCCAAACTTCCCTCGGTATGAACTTGCGACCTCAGTAAAAATCCGTTCCTACATCAACACTGACCTGACCAATGACCTTTCAGACTTAAGATGATACAAGGAAAAAAAAAAAAACACGTAACCTATTGTATACAGGTCTAAAAGTGTAGCCCAGCCCAGCCAGGAGTAGTTTACATAATACTGGGTAAACTATTATCTGTCAAGGTTCACTCAGTTAAGAGCCGTGTATGGGCGGCCTCTATCACAAACTACCTCGGCTCTTGGCTGTAAACACCACACCACTCCTCAACACCACACCACACCATACTACTACTCCACACACCACACCATACTACTACTACTACTCCACACACCACACCATACTACTACTACTCCACACACCATACTACTACTACTCCACACACCACACCATACTACTACTACTCCATACACCACTCCATCCCACCTACACTGGTGCTAATTAATTGTCCTTAATTGGTGCTATATACACCTCTGTGCAATTTCAGTTTGTGTTTAATATACGTCCTTTCATCTCCCGGAACGAGGAAAGTTTGTTTTAATTAACTGTGTGTGCGTGTGTGTGTGTGTGTGTGTGTGTTAGAGAGAATGAGTCATCGACATAATATTTCAGATGATGCAAGGACATGAAGAGTAATGCCCCGTTGGTGTTGGTGACACGGTGACAATTACCATGAGGTCACAGGTTCGAGAGAGAGAGAGAGAGAGAGAGACGACTGGACGGCCAGACCCAAACCACCGCACTCCAACACCAGACTTCTGACCCACAAGCCACAACCCCAACCAATCTATAAACTAATTTGGGTTATAAAAAAAATAGTTAATGCTTTCTACACATAGGTCTAAGGCCTATACCCAGAACAAGGGTAAATGTAGTACGATTTCCCAATTAGTCTTCAAGCTAAATTAATGATAAAGTTAGTACGGGAACAAGGTCTTCACAAGAGCATCATAAATCAACACTAAGATTCAAGTGGCGGTAAAAACGTTGATTCTGAGCGAGGTTTTGTGTGAATGAGTGAGTGAGTGAGGCGGTGACGTCATAGAGGGAGAGAGAGGGGGGAGGGTGAGTCACAAGGACAGGCCCGCCCAGGGGAGGAGGACCGCCGCTGAGTCAAGTCAGTCACTCACACACCTCCCTCAGTTTACCGTTTTCTATGACACGTTACATAATAGACGATAATATTTCAGCCTCCTGTGAACCGAAATAACAACCTCGAATAATACGACAGACAATAAGGGTGAAAATATTATACTAAGAATTACTATAAGTCGTTCTTACATTCAAATTCATTATTATAGTCATTTAATAACCCAAATACAAGCAGATAACAAACTAGAAATAAAATAATCCACGTTCCATCATTTTCAAAACAGTAAGAACTTTAGATCAAAATATAACAAATATCTTGGCTCACAACTTAATATAAATCGTTGTTGGTTTCGTCACTTGCTAAAACACACAGTAGGCGGTGATGTTGGTGATAAGCGTACAAATACCATCTTCATTTCCTCCTTTAGTTTAACTTATTATTATTAATTATAGATACGATGTAACCCGTCCACACACACACACACACACATGACCTTGACTGACCTTAAACAGCCTGTAAACACGACTAAAACGATGGTTGTTATGTCCCTAGAGTATGACTGACTGACACACGCACGCACACAGTGAACCTGCAGTAACAGTATGCAAAAAAAAAAAAATACCCGGAAATAAAGTGACTATGTATGACTCAAAAAAAAATACATATATCGCGTGTTCGGGGTGACATAGCCAATCAGCCCGTGACTCATAGGTGACGTCACTATTCCTTGGACCAATCATTGATGCCACATGACCACAGAGGCAAGGCAGGCACCCCCGTACAGTACTTTAAGAACGTAATGAACTTTTTAACTGCTGACTGGGACATACGCCTGTGCTTAATGACGTCACTCACCTGTTGTTGATTAAACTGTTGGTCTTGTTGAAATCTTTTAATGCGATTCTGGAAGTCCAGGACCTCGCCTCCACCGCCGCCGCCTGGGCCGCCCTCCCCCGTCTCGCCTGACATCTGTAAGGACACAGGAAATAGTCAGTCTCAACACACCCTCTGATTGGTCGGTTAAATGTATCAACAAACCCTCTGATTGGATGGTTAAATGTGTTAACAAACCCTTTGATTGGCTGTTAAATCAGTGTTAAGAAACCCTCTGATTGGTTGGTTAATTGTCAACAAGCCCTCTGATTGGTTAATGAAATCGATGTCAACTTCAACCCCCGAGACGAGCCTTAAACCACACCTGGGAGTCACACCTCACACCTTTATTTTTACCTGAAGATTAACCACCTGAACGCAAACCTGGGGGGCTGGGTTGGTTATTATTATGGTGGTTTAAATCTTCAGGTGAAATAGACAGAGAGATCTTTAGACGACTCTAAAAAAATAAAAATAAAAAATAAAAAATATATTTAAAAAAATTCCACACAAGACCAGACACCGTGACCTACATACTATAGAGGACTCGTGACAGGTAAACACAGGTGAGCACAGGTAAACACAGGTGAGCACAGGTAAACACATTCCACCGGTCAAGAGGGACAATTAAATAATCTCCGTTTATCTCTGTACTTGATAGCGAGATAAGACATACACACACAAAAAATGAATTAGTCACACAAGAGTAATAATGAGGTGACGTGGAAAGAAAGAAAGAAAGAAAGAAAAAGAAAAATAAGAGAGAAAGAGAATCGTCGACTATTGAAGAGAGAGAGAGAGAGAGAGAGAGAGAGAGAGAGAGAGAGAGAGTAAATCCCCATTATTTTCTGTCACTTGTCAAAAGAGAAATCGTCGTCACAGCTTAATTTTAGGAAATTTGCTGTATTTTTAGAAGAGTTGGAATTACTTCTAGTTCTCGCCATCTCTATATATACCCCCTCATGCCCGACTGAGGGGGTATTATTGGGTATATCTGAGGGCCAAGGGTAAAAGCAGGGCACTGGGGGTGATTACTGATAGATAGGCTGAAAATGTTTTAGAGTGTAGGGCCATGGTCGCCAACCCTCAGACGTAAGATTGATTGATTGATTGGCCGATTGACTGTAATTGGTTGAATCGTCAATTTTTTTTAGACATGGCGAGTAGAAATAAATGGACGTGTCGGGTGAATTGTAAAAAAAATAATCGTGTGTCGTGACGCCGCTGACCAACACCACCCCCAACACTGCGGCAAAACTCCGTCGTCAGTCTCTTGCCAAACACAGCACGCAAAGTAGGAGAAGCCTTCCAACCACAGCACCCAGGACGCATTTGTCTAGCTAAACCTATAACACACACACACACACACACACTGGATGGATATATTAACCTGCATATAAATGATATAATGCCTACCTGTCCTAGTACCCAGTAGCACCCGTCCCAGCACCCAGCACCACCCGTCCCGGCACCACACGAGCGCTGCACGAGGCGATGAGAGAGCCTAACAACACGCTAACTACCGACCACGACACTTACAACCTTATCTAGGCCAGGTGGTGTGACCCGTCCTTATGAACCAGGTCGACCTTGTACGAGGAAGACTCATAGATCATCACTAATTAACTAAACATTAGGGATTATTAATAACATCCCCCCAGCACAGGTGTGACGCGGATATTAACTTACATTACACATAGGTAAACACACCTGAGAATAGCGCCCACATGTGTGAGTCTCCCCACAGTGTCAACACACCTGTACCAGTCGGCTCCACACTCGGGTAAAGTTCACTACGGCGACACATCACTACAAGGCCTACACTGCCACGCTACGACCCTCTTGTACTCCTCCACTCTGGGTCACTACTTGCTGCTTGCTCCTCCATCCTGGTAGCACCACCCACCACACAAACACCGCCAGGAGGCAGTAGAATAGTCGGAGGTCTTGTCCTGGGCCGAGCGGGAGAGAGAATGCATGCTAGGGAGGTAGGTGGCCTATTGATTTACCACCAGCAGGAGGAATCGAGTACCCACACAGCCACCCACACAGCGCTCTCCCACCCTCATGCCACCCACCCATCACAGACCACCCTACTACCACGCCACCCACATCATCAAGCTATCTTCCGTCTCAGAACTCGAGTAACAGTGACTAACACACACACACGTATTTACTACCTCCAACTCACGACTTTGGGGAGCGATGAACACAAGTGACAGTGATCCAGGGTTTTCACCAGGTTATTGTAGCGTTTGTGTTTACTGTGAGGTGTTACGTGGTTGGGTGACAAACAGTTTTATATTACACACACACACACACACACACACACACACACGTTGTCTTATATCACCTGCTCTCGAAATTTTTTTTATTTTATTTTAACTTAAAAAATAGTAGTAAAAGTAGATATAAAATAATAATTATAACCCCACAAACAAGGTAATTATCTTATCTCTCGTGTTATAAGACTCAAGCCTAATAATACCTAATAAAAATTTATATCGTAATAACAGGTAATTACTTGTGTTTATGTAAGAATAATAACAAAGAAGAGGAAACAAACGTGTCCTATTGCCTGGACAGGTTAATCACACAAGGTATGTAATAATTACCTGGTGAAGTCATAAAAACGGAGAGAGAGAGAGAGAGAGAGAGAGAGAGAGAGAGTGTGTGTGTGTGTGTGTGACAATATCATATTCTCAGTGGTGACTTGAGTCGCAGTGGCAAGGTGAGGAAGGACCAGCTAGTGTGTGTGTGAAGGGGGGGGGGTTGACCAATCCAAGTCAAGTCACAACACGACAGAGAGGCAAAGAAAGGGATAATAATTTTAAACACTAATTATTACTGTCAGCTGTTACACATGTTTTTTTAATTTGTGATATACATAATTGGCATATGTAGTACTTTGAGAACGAACGAACGAACACACACACACACACACACACACACACACACACGCGACGCTGGTAAACAAAACAAAAATAAGTACATATTTCTCTGCCTTCTACAGGTTTCCATGGACACTACACCACCTGCCTGACTCATCCATGATCATTGCACCACCTGCCTGACTCATCCATGATCATTGCACCACCTGTCTGATTCATCCATGATCATTGCACCACCTGTCTGACTCATCCATGATCATTACACCACCTGTCTGATTCATCCATGATCATTGCACCACCTGTCTGATTCATCCATGATCATTGCACCACCTGCCTGACTCATCCATGATCATTACACCACCTGCCTGACTCATCCATGATCATTGCACCACCTGTCTGCCTCTACATCACCCCTGTACCACCTGTATATTTCTTCCAGGTCACTGTATCACACCTGTATGCCTCCTCCAGGTCATTGCTCTTTCCTGTCGTATCGATCAGGCCCAGCTGGTGGTGGGCCATCAGGAGTTTATTCTCATCTGTGTTGTGGCAATCCATTACGTCCCTACGACCTACTCTCACCCTCCTCCTCCTCCTCTTTCTCTTCTTCCTCCTCCTCCTCCTCTTCTCTTTCTCTTCCTCCTCCTCCCTTGTCAAACATCATCGCAAATGAGGGGGGACACAGATGAGACGTAAATGGAAAGGAGGAGAAGTAGAGAGGTAAGAGGGAGAAAGAGGAGAGAGGGAGATGCAATGAGGATGGTAGCAGAGAGAAAGATTGATGGATGGTGAATAGAAATTGAGAGATGGAGAGGAAGAAGGGGATAGATTAGAGAGAGATGGAGGGACGGATGTGGAGTGAGACGGAGAGAGATGGAGGAGAGGATAGAAATGGAGCGAAAATGGGTGGGGATAGACGGTTGGGGCGTGCAGGAGGGAGAGGGGGAAAGAAGGAGGGAGGAAGGGAGGGCGTGTTGGGTCCTCCGTAAGTACACGCCATTCATCACTGTTGGACACCCTCGCCACACCCTCCACCGATACACTATAACTCTACCCTGTGTTGTGGCCCACATCTACATATACACCCCCTTCCTCTTAACACCCAATACACTACAAGGCCACACCTACACTCAACTTCTACCATCACCACTACACTAAACCGCACATACCCCTCCACTACACTACCACCACACATCCCTACACTCCACCACTACACCACCACACATCCCTACACTCCACCACTACACCACCACACCTCCCTACACTCCACCACTACACTACCACCACACATCCCTACACTCCACCACTACACTACCACCACACATCCCTACACTCCACCACTACACCACCACACATCCCTACACTCCACCACTACACTACCACCACACCTCTCTTCAACCAATTACCACTTCCAACATCATCACCTCCTAAATAAAATTAACATCGATAATAATTCTCTTCAATAACTCAGGTACAGTCAGTAAACAAAGCAGGGGCGTGACGGGGGTGTTACCTGAGGGCGTGGCGGGCGTGTTAACCAGGCCAACCCCCCGAAGTAGATTACAGTACTCACGATGTAATGAATGTACACAAACGCCCCAACATTGTACTTAGCTCGACCGGATAATCTCTCGTTGGAGTGTGAGGGGAGAGTGAATTGTGTGAGAGAGAGGGAGGGAGAGGGATGTAGTATGGAAGGAGGGGTGGAAGGGGGAAGAAGAGGTATGGAGTGTGAAGAGAAGGAAGAGGGGAGTTATGTAATGTGGAAGGAGGACAAGGGTTATGTAGTGTAGAGGGAAGGAGTAAAGGAGTGAGTAAAAGAAGGAAGGAGTAAGGAGGGAGGAGGGAGAGAGTTATCTAGTGTGGAGGGAAGGAGCAGCACTACGATACGCCCCCCTTCCCCCTATCCCTGATCAACACCACCTGGGCACACCTGGGCCCGAGACACGCACCCAAGGTCACCCACTAATTGATTCCTGACAGGTGCAACGGAGACAAAGTATTTACTATACTGTAACACATACATACATACATACATAAAACGCACACAACACTCGACACAGCCATACTGACCCCCAAAACGGCTATACACACGAATAAACAGTCGTCCAGGGCAGAAATTGTCCTCTAGGAACGAGAAAATCAATACCGTGGCGACCTTCTACAGGAGCTGGACGTCCTTTACGCCAGCACGCACGAAGGCAG